TTTATTTATTTTTGCTGAAGATCCCAGTTGCATCCCCTTTCAGCTTCCAAATATTTAAATCTCTACGTAACGAGCTACAGGAGTTATTGAAGCTGAGAGTGGAGAAGGAGTTTTGATACGGCGGTCATTCCGTTTTAATGACCTGGCGCCTGACTTGGTTTTCTGATTTTTATTTTTGGGGTGTTTTGGTGCCAGAGGGCGGACTGATGGAAGAAGGGTTCCGTGAACCTTCGGAAATTACGTCGCAAGACTAATTTATGAATAATCAATTATTCTTAGGTTTTTAGTAAATCTGTAGCTTCTGAACTCCATCTTTTCCGACTTTTTGACGATCTTTTCCAAAAGAAAAGTAATGAATGTTTTTTTTCATTATTCTGAAATATTTCGGCCTTGCTATGTATTATTTTGCATCTTCAGAAATTTTTCGGGGCAGTTAGAGCTGCTGGCGGCTCCAATGATCATCCTTCCACACCTACGTTCTTACAAATTTATAACATACTGTCTATATTTGGTGTCATGAAACCACCTAAAACTGGTAATTGCTCAGTTAATGTTGATGAATTGAAGAAACCTCTTATAACGCTTGCCGATTTGGAAACCATTTTAATACACGTAATGATACAACTGTGATGAAGGTGAAGGTAATGGAGAAGGTGGATGAACTGATAAAATATGAAGACTGGAGTCCTCAATCAATAATCACTGATCACTTCTATCAATTACCTGAAGTTCAAGACTGCGTTATGTATGGTCTCACTGCTGATATAGCACAACGTATCAGGAATACTGTCACTTGTAACGATTGCAAGAATGCTTTTGTTAATCCATCTGTCATTCCAACTCTCCCTGAGGGTTCATTTGTTGTAAAATCAGGGCCAATTCATCCTAACACATATCTTTATCGTTTTGTTGTATCCTTGAAAGAATTATTCTTGAAATATTGTGATTCTCAGCATGTTTTTGAATGCATTCTGGATGGTGTTTGTCTAATGAATGTAACTTTTTCTTGCATAAAACATGGGAGTGAGAGATTGATGCAAGTTATCCAATATTTTATTACTCTACCAATGCAACAATACTGCTTACGCATGAATGCAGAACAAAAAAAAAATGAATCAATTGAAAAGGAAATCAGCAAAATTTTATTCTACATGAGATTGAATTAATGCAAATTTGATTGTAAACCATTTTTATCAGGAACTTGTAATTTTATCACTTAAATAAATATTTTATTCACCAAAATGATAGCAGTATGTTTTCCTTTCTTTAAAAATACTACACTCACGTTTCAAACTAATTAGAACCCTAAAATCAAATTTGCCGCTATCTCACGACAAAGGCCAACTAGCGCCACTCGGCGCGGCTACATTAACGGCACGGGCTGCATGGCAGAGTGTCAGGGAGCTGAGTAGGAGCCACAATTACTGCACTGGGAAGCGTCCCATGAAGCGTCTGTCAAATGGGAAAATGAGGAAAATGCTCGCAGCAATTAATAAAAAATAAATTAAAAAACGATAAATTCGTGACGAATTTCTGTATTGGGCGATGTGAGAATTATTTGATTGTTATTGTTGGTTTTGATATTGTTCTCGTTCGAGATAAAAAAATTCTTCCACCTTGCCTTCTGCATGCATGTTTTCTCAAAATAGGCATATATTGAGCTGCTTGCTGACTATTTGAAGGTCTGATTCTCAGCATTGGTTAAACGAAAAAATAGATAAGACAACTAGAGACGCATGGATTAATCAACAGTCATAATTAATGTAGGATCATTGTCAACAGTCAGGATTGTGACGAATATGGTTAATGGAAATATAAGTGGTTTAATTTTTTTTTTTTTAATTTTACATTTTTCCTTTTCCTATTACCATAGTTTCATGGTTTGATAGGCACCCCTTCGTCTTAGCCTTTTAGCCTCTCCTACTATCCTTTCATTATTTTGCGGTGTCATGGGCCGACTCTCCATACTGCGCCCATTTGGCTTGTACTGAGGGAAACCATGTAAAACCTCAGTAGCGCAGCCGGCCGGTAATGTGGGGATTCTGCTGTGTTCATCAGTCACACTGACTCGGTGAACACAGCAGCTCTCTACACCCGTGCCTAACGACGGCAGTTTACACGCCGAGGGGTGTGACTAAGCGGGCACCCATCCAAGTACTAACCCAACTGAGCGTTGCTTAGCCTGGATGACCCCCGGAGTCATACACCACCCGCGTGGCTACTGTCGCCGCGTAGTGGTTTAAATAGATAAAACAGATAAAAGTAAAAGTCACATAGACTTTATGTATCTTAAATGATCACATTCGCTCTCGATCTGCATTCCAGCTCTCCTCATCGAGCACTGACTCATTTTCGAACTTAATCATCTCAGCGCACTCTAATTTCTTTACCTTCCACTCTGACACTCACACTACCACTCATTCGTAAAATCTTTATCGCACACAATACTCTCTTTCATTCGATAAGGCCGGCCATACGCAACACTCCAACTCCCATTCAGTATAAACATTTTTATTTTTCAAACTGCCATTTGATCCAAACACTTCTCACAATACACCTCAATCCTGCAAACTCACTCTCAAACCTAACGTCTCTATTGAGCGGTTCTAATAATTGAAATTGCCCTCTTAGCGTCACTCATCCGCTCAGTCACTAGTCACACTATTTTATTTTCCCGTTTTTTTTTTCATTTAAAACACATGCACAGACAACACAGATCCTACATTGTTTAATTCTCGTTTGGAATTTTGAGTGTTCACCTTTCAAGGAAAATTATGAGCTCAATTTAGAGCCATGAAATCACGCTTTGACTCATTGAATAGCCTAAAAAATTTAGCAAGATGAAATATGATACGCCACATAATTTTTAATTTAACCAAGCTAGCAGAAGTAGGGGGTTTATTTTTAATTTTTTCTTGAAACTACTTAGAGCCTTCATTTAAAAATTCGCGAGTGCATTTCATCGCGCTCGATCATTAGATCGAACGGTGTTCCTTCATGATTGTTGTCAGAGTAGTTATGGATCTATTCGGAAGCTTACTACCAATTGTATTCGTAGAAATTAAAAATTAGATAAAAAAAAACAAACTCATAAAGTAATTCTCAAATGTCTCCTGTCAAATAGACTCGGCCAACTGCTTGTTTTCCTAGTTTTTTCACCTTTCATTCCTTCCCCTTGTCCATGATAGAAGACGTTTACCGCCTTCTCGCGGTGTCCATTGAGCAACATTCCAGAATATTGGCCAAGAGTGGATCATTAATTCAAAACTTATTCATTTTTTGGATTTCAAATTCCTCATTTTTTTCGACAAATTTCTAGTCCCCAATTCCCCGATCAGAGAAAGAATGAGAAAATTTCTTTCCTCATTTAATAAAAGCCAAAATTCATTATTCGTTTACGCTTACGGATACCTATGACATAAATATCTACATGATAATATTTTATTCCTATTGTATGAATCAATTTAAAGGTCCTGACAAGCAATTGAAGGGGTTAGATAGTATGTAGTCAAAAGATTATCATATAAATATTCATAACAGTGGAATGTTCATTATAATCTCCTGATGTTCTCAATGAAATGGAGTCATGCATACAAGATGAATTAATTATTTCATTTACCCGTAGGAGTTTGATTAAGGACTATCTCACTTGCACCTGAGCCACCACCACGAAATTTTCTTGTTAAAGCCTTTGCCTTTGTAAGGCTTAGTAATTTCTCATATGATCTCTGACCTTACCTTCTCGGATGAATTTGTTACAAGTTTTATATCCTTCCCTCATGAATTACAAACGTTAATTAGTTTTGTTTAATCGATGAGGTTTGGCCATTTTTTTCGGTCAAATTCTTCATTGATGTGAATTATAAAAATTTGAAGAAGTTCACAACAATAGATTTAACGACAGAACGTGTCGAATGCTCAAGACATTACTCTTTAGTTGCATATATTTATCCTACTGAATCGTTAAGATAACAACTGGCAAATAACTTATTAATGATTTAACGGCCTTTTATTTGTTAATTTTGACTGATTGATTTCATGGAACAATGGTAATAAAACGTTGTCGACAGGAGGGATTTTTAAAAATTTAACAACGCCACAGTCCTTTTTAATTAAATGCACCTAAACAGGAATGCTTTGAGCATTCGATATATTGCGCAGTTAAGCCTATTTTTATACTCTTTTTCAAATTTGTATACTAATTCGAGGAGTTAATTAATTTTGGTAGATTGAATTTGAGGCAACTTATTTATTTTATTCTATAAGCATGTGAATATCATTTTGGGTATCTTCATTGTAGATTTGTGGACTGTGTTTTCTGTTCTTACGTTAAATTCGACTTTGTCAATAGATGTTCACGTCCAGGAATCTACCCCACTGTCCGCGACCAACACAGTAACCAAACAGATAATACCGTAACCTCGTCATTCTGCAATTTTGAGTCAATTTTAGGTGTTCATATATTATGAAGATTGTCATCTCCATTATTATTGCTGATAACCCCGGAATTTCGTTCTCAATTATTAATATTCTATCACTTCGGGATTGCTGCATTTATGAAACTGAAGCTGATGATTTAGCCGCGTTTCGTAATTCAATCAAGTGTGGAGGGCTTTTATTGGGTATTTGATGAGGCTACTAGAACAATCACTTATGTCATAAGAGTATCCCCCCCTCCCTCCTCCGCGCTTCTCGGTCTTTGATCCCGAATCTGATAATAATTTCTAATTCTGATGAGGCCCATCTTTCCTTTCATTTGTTTTCGAATGACTAGGAATCGTTCTTATAAGCATAATATCGAAACGATGGTACTGTGTTGAGAAATGGGCTGTTTCACTGTAGTAACTTTCTTCGTATAAATAATAAGTAGAGTGTCCACTCTGGAGAAAACGCATAAGTAAGGTACTTTGTAAACATAAAAATCCAAACGGTCTAAAAATATCTGGTTAGCCAGAACAATCAGCCCTTGAATCTATACTAATTTTGATTTCTCTCTTCAGCGACCGGTAAAACAACAGCCTGCGGAGGAGTCTTGATTAATAAACGGTACGTGGTAACAGCCAGCCACTGCATCAAGGGAAAAGACCTACCGTTAACTTGGAGACTGACCCACGTGCGACTGGGTGAATACAACACAGATACAGATCCTGACTGCATCGCCGATAGTACTACCTCGGAGATCTGTGCACCACCCCTAATGACAGTCGGAATTGAGCAAATAATTGTGCATGAAAATTATCAGGCTCTGGATAGAAATCAATTGAACGACATAGCCCTATTGAGACTATCTAGAGATATAGAATTTACCGATTATATCAAGCCCATCTGCCTTCCTAAAACACATGACGTTCCCTCAAGACTATGGGTCGCAGGCTGGGGAAAAACCGAATTCAGGAGTTCCTCGACGATTAAACTGAAACTATCTATTCCAATTACTCAGCGGGATACCTGCATGAATCGATACGGAAATGCTGGAATTAAACTTGCAGGCAGTCAGATCTGCGCTGGCGGTCAGAGAGGAAAAGACTCATGCAGAGGAGATTCTGGAGGTCCGTTGATGAGTGTGGAGAGAGCTGGTGATGGCTCTGGAAAGTGGACGGCTGTGGGCATTGTCTCTTTTGGACCTTCTCCCTGTGGGATGGAAGGGTGGCCCGGAGTTTACACTAAGGTTGCTTCGTTTACAGATTGGATCATTAAGAACATGCGTCCTTAATGGGAGAGGATTATGTCAGTTGAGGTTATTCTGGGTTAAGAAAAATTGAACAAATCAGCTGTGATAGATTGTGTCGGGTCGTGGGTTAAAAGAACTTACATTTACAAATTAACCAAACTTTTTATTGAAGAGATAAAATACATTTACTGCTTCTCCAATTAAAGGTTTACTCTCTCATGGTTTCAATTATCATGCTATTTGGAATTATTCCCATTTTTGCTTTCGAGGTTTCAGAGATACTATGGGCTGAAAGCTTGTGGAGGGAGCAAGGTACAAGGTCTTTGATTCGCTAATTGAATGGTAAGGTTGAGATGTTTCTTTGTGAGGGCTTTAAGTGTGGATGCAGTGGGAAAGTTTCGGTTTATGGTTGTGAAGGGTCTAAGCTATTTGGAGAGTATCGAAGAGAAATTGAAAAAGATTTTTCTTGAAACAATATGAAATATTTGGTCGCGAAAAGTTCTTCAGAATAAAGTTGCCTGAATGTTCATTTGTGGAAAATTATAAAATTATGGAGATGCTGTGTATGCAAGAGCGCCCTTTCCAAAATTGGAAGCCTGAGTGTACAATTGATTAAAACCATATCATAATTGTTCAGTTTGAATAACTAAGGAGTTTTACTTATTTATGAATGAATGTTATTAGTAACGTTATTAATGTTATTAATAATTTTAAAACTAGTTTAAATGAATTTTAATATAACAAGGTTGTTTGTGGTTAAAAATATAATTAGACTGTTTACTTTACAATGATTTAGTGTGTATAATGTTGATAACATTGGCACCGTGTCTTCCGTTTCAGATTCATTGCTACTCAAAGTATTCAAAAATGTGGTAAGATCATGCGCGCCTTTCTAGTTGACGTAAGGGATTCGAAATATAAATTTAAAATATAAAGTGTAGCAAAGAAAATTCTCGATAATTAATTTAATTATCCTTGTCATGGTAATCCAGGATAAGCAGAATAAGCAACAGCTACACTTGATGATAATTCGTGATATAATATTCGTGACTGATTGTTCTGTTCAGAAATACTTAAATCCATTCATCTCTTCGAGAGCGCATTGTCTGTAGTTGTGCGAACATGTGTTGTCCTTTGTTTGGGGGCGCTATTCGAGACATTTACCCGTAGGAGATTTATTAAGGACTATCTCACTTGCACTACGCTTTTGCTGGTGTGCCGCAGGCCGAATGAAGGATCCGCAGTTATACAATGGTGTTAAACTGGAGTGTGTGTTCAATATTACTAATTGTAGTTTCCAACTACATCTCTCTACTGAGGTGATGCTTGAGTAAAAGATGCATAATTCGATACTCTCTTCCTTTTTGTGGGATGAATTGAGGACACGGACACATGTTGGTATCCCCCCAAAAACAAAAACAAAAAATGTTTTTGTAAAAAAATGCGTCAAGCACATATTTCGATGTTATTCATTTGAAAAAAAAATTGGAAAAAAATTAAAACAACAATTACTTAAAAATTCAAGCGATAACTATGGAAATTTGAAAAAAATGCACAAAAAAAAAAGATGCCAAGCTCATTGAATTTACCAGTGAGGAAAGCTAGTGATGATAGGAGTGCGTAAATCGTTTTGAGTTCTTCTCTATGAATGTCTTGACTAAGACGAGTCCCATAATATCCTACAAAGGACATCGCAATCAAATCGAATACTCGACTCAAGTCGAAAGAGGTAAAAAGGGCATTGTGAATCAAAAAACTATTCAGCAATATGGTCAGAATCAACGTACCTAAGCTACTGTCGAATGAGAGAATCTTACTATTACTTAGATTTAAATAAAATACAAAATGCATCGACAATATCCAATTATTGCAATGAGACTTCCGTGCCCTAGAATTTAAATAAGTGACTACTTTTATGTATCTCCACATAATTTTATTATTCTTCCTTCACAACCCTCCAAATATGCATTTGGAATAAGGACTATTGAGTATATACGGTATATATCTTTCTATTCGATGCATTGCTGTATAATATAAGTTTTGATGCATGAGTGAGCGATAATAGTGTTCCAATCAACTACTTGAATTTCTAATTTATGTAAATAATTCATTAATTAGTTATATTTATTTATGTTCCAGGTTTTCGATTAATATATCAAATTTTAAGAAAAATGGATCATTTAATTCGCCGTGTTATTCTTTTTTTTTCAATATAAAAATTAGAACGAGATTAAAATTTTCTAAATTTCATATTAAGCCTGTTTGAGGTTACGAATTGAATAATAATAATTATTCAATTGAATGCAATGCACAATAAAGGTCAGGTGATTTTATAAAATCGATTTGCTTTGGATTTTTTCGGGATATTAGGAGTTATAGATCTTCTTGTCTCTTTTTTGGGGTGCTTGCCACTTACATTTTGGCCCCAAAAATAATGGCTACGTGAAATAATCCATTATTTTTCTCTCAAAACACATGTATGGATAATCAACAATTAATTAAGTATTTTCACATTTTGCAAGGCATTTTCCTTAATTATTTCTAAAACATCTCTTGTTTTGGAAACCTGTATTTTCAAAATACATTTCATACTTTAGGGTGCAGTAAAGAGCGGTTTTTTAGAAAAATTGTTCATTTCCAAGGATAAATGAAGAACGTGAAAAACATTGAAAAAGGGTTAGGTGTCAACCACCATGAGATGCCAAATTATGCATTTCTATTTTTTAATTTGTCACTGAAAATATTTTTTCATTTGTCACTGAAAATAAACTTAACTTATCTCTTCTCAGTGGGTTATTGTAACTCAAAATTAATTCAATGTTTGCGGGGTAACAAATTCTTGATTTAATAATATTATAAGTTATCGGAACAAAATAAAGTATCTCAAAAACGCCGTCTTACTCTCAACTATGGGATCACGCTGTCCTCGGTCACAAAGAAAATAAATTAATTAACAAAGACACGAACAAATAATTTACAAACAAATTCCCTAACCATCAGTCAATAAGTAAAATTACTAGTCGAAAATAACAAGTCAGAATAAATCAGAAATGCTAGGGTCAAGATTCTAAGAAATCGATAAAACAGCTAGTAATTGTTAAGTCAGAATTTTCATACGGTGACGGAATCTACATTTAACACGAGGAACAAGCGTGTCCACTCATACAATAAAACGAAGAGAGTTAAGCAATTGAGAGGGGAATTGCCTCGAGAGAACGTAAACAAACGTCGAAAGTAACCGAAAGGGTTACCGGCAAAACACAAATCTCGAGCGTCGACAAACGTTGCAATTCCCCTTCCAATGCAAAAAGATAAATTTTATTACATAAAATTCAATCAAAAGTATTTGTGGCTTTACAGGCCGCGATAATATCAATTAAAACCTCGAGGATAACAACACTGATCTCGAGATTATACCACTTCGCCAGACAAAAGAAAATCGATAATAGAAGCAAAAATAAATTCCAAAATATAATTTAGGAGAGAGGCACGAGTCGTTAAATTACTCAGTTAAGACCACGATAGTTCTAAGTCAAGGAAAACTCAATATCATAACGAGTCATTGAAATTTAACGCTAACAAAATTATCATGACTCTACCGAACGAGACTAAACAAACCAGAAATCGGAATACTCGAAAATGGCGTCAATGCCATGGACAATGAGTTCAATAATTAACAAGAATGAGAGAATCAAAAATGCTTCGAAATACAATAAACAATTTTAATAAATCCACCGCTCACCGAACTTTATGAAATGAGGTCCCAGAGCAGTGAGGAATCTCCCAGATTCGTCTATATCCTCCGTGGTCTTTTCCTTTCGCCCGAAAATGTCTTCACAAAAAAAAAAATTTACAACTAACAGTTTTGCTGTCACTGGTCCGGCGTCCAAACGAGAAGTGTCGTTAAATCGCGGAACGACAATGCTCAACAGGTGACGAGACCTGCCAAAGCCATGATTGGCTCGTCACCGACACACGAGTTTTCGGATTGGCTGTTAATCAGCACAGCCAATCAACTTAATAATATAATTTTTATAGGAGTCCAACTGACACATAATTGCCATAAGTAATATTGGGGATTCCTAAACCATCAACAAACCCAAAATTATTTTTCTTAAAATCAGTCCAATTGTTCTACTTTATAGAGCTCAAAAATTCCGTCGTTAAAATTCCGCCTAATTGCTGATTTGGAGCGAAACAAATTCTAGCTCCGGACGCTGGCGCCACCACTCAGTTTCTCCCGGCGGAAACTCCACACTCTTTCCCGAACCTCCTTGCGTTCTCCAACAAAAGAGAGTAATGTGACAGTATCCAAAATCCCACGATGAGTCCGAGATGAGCGGTGAAACATGGCTCGATATAATGAAAAAAAAATAATAAAAGCAAAAACAGTATAAAATGAATTTTTATAAAAGACAGACTCTTGCCTCGCCACTGGTTACTTCTCGTCTGGACATTCCAAAAACCGACGAACGGTCGAAATCAAAAATACCACGTTACACTCGATATCCATTAGAATTATCTTTTAATGTGATGATACTAGTTTTTAGCGAAGTGTATAGCATGAGTTTTTTGTATAGGGGTTAAAGTGCTAGTTACCTTCCCCCTACTTCTCCTAACCCTCATAAAACCTGACAAAATTCAACAACGGGCGTTAGGTAATTTTTAGCCCGGACCTAAATAAATAATTCGACCTCGTAACCTGAATTTATCGAAATCTTAACTCCTCGAATAATTAAATCTAAAACGAAGGAATGACAAAACGTAATGCAAAACGAAGAAATTCAACAAAAGAAAATAGTATTCATAGTTATCCACAGCTCATACATCCGGAATGTGTCTCCAATGAAGGATTGTATTTCCAACCCAAATATCGACCAATAGAATTGTACTATGCGCAGCAAATGGTACAATCTACATGGTATTAAACTGAATATTTTCCTCGGTCGGATCTCGGCCAATCAGAGCGCAGTATTTGAGGTCGTCAAAGAGTTTTATTTCGGAAATTTCTTAAAAATTTCCGACGGAAATTCATTAGTAGATTTTCAAATGTCTCATCTTTTGACGCATTTCACGTTCAATATTTAATTTGACAGTTTGAGAGAAAAAAGGGCTATTTAACACATAATTTCAATATGAATCGCTTCGGAGTGGTTTCCCTGAGAGGAATTAATGAATCCATAAGTGAAAATGTGCCAATAAACACAGTGAAATCGAAGGAATGCGTTTGGCGACAGTTCTCAAATTTCTGTGGACAGAAAGGATATTCATTAGAACAAGCTACGTCAAAAGAGACTATTGCTGATGCTTCCAGTGTTCCTCACATTCTAACACCTCTACAGTAAGTATTTTGGATGACAAATGGATGGAGAGCAATGACAACCTCAAATACTGCACCCTGCTTGACCGAAATCCGACTCGGGAAATATTCCGTCAAATACCACTCGTGCTCCAAAATTCATCGGATATTTTGGAGCACTAGTGGTATTACTACTGATAATTTTTTGATTGATGATTCTCTCTCGTAGTTACTATATAAAAAACAAAACATTATTCAGTCAAATTAACTCCACGACGAACTGACACATATGAAATTCTTTTTTCTGAACTGTGAGGTTCGCCTCATGGTGCAATTCTATTGGCCGACATATCCGTTGGAAAAATAATCCCTCAAGTACCACACAAGCTTCAAAATTATCTAGCATTTCACTCAAGGTTCAAGAAGATATGCCTCGTTGCTCGGGTTGGAAAAAGGAAATTACTATATCAATTAATCCACCAAACTTCTGAAATCGAGAACGCCAAATCCAATGGACGCAATTTTGGAAAACCTCGAGAGAGAGTCTCGCGCTCATCGTTACTTAATTTCACTCGTAAAGATCGATAATTGACTACGTCAAGTTAATTAATCATTGCGTCAATTTTCGGCTTTTAATAGCAAACTTGTTTCGTACAGCCACTGGCTTTCGTTTGCCGTAAAGAAACCTTTTCACGCTTACTCACCGGAAGCCCAACCTAACCCTCCACAAGAAAACTAGAAAAATGCTGAAAAATGCTCCAAAATTGTAAAGTCGTTGAAAAGGGGAAAGAATCGTTACTAACGTAGCCACAAACTCACTTTGGAGATTCTTGTCGTTCTCTTCTTCCGTTTCCGAGCCACGATCCCAGATTCCTCGTGATCCTTCCTCTCTTGTCATCGCACGTAGTGCACAGTATAGTAGTTGATATCGAATTAATTTTCGGAAATCAACCGAAGTAGTTAAAAATACTTTTTCTGTCCCTACCTCAACAATTGTGCTTATCCCCACGGTGAGCTACACCATTTTCTTATCGTTTGGTTATTAATTCCCCCAGATTTCGTTTATAATTGTCTCTTCTGACATTCTACAATAGACACCCTAATTTCTACCTTTTTTTTATTATTATACAGTGATTCCTAGATAAATATTAGACGGCGAAGAGTTCCGTTGTTGGAAAGAAGAATGTAGTAAGATTTCTAGTTCAAATATACATTAGTCAAGTGCACTCGATGTTATGTCCGGGGCTAGTGATGGGGAAACTACGTTAATTTAAAATAAAATGTCTTCGGAGTAACGGTAAGTAAAATTTTCGATTAGAACCGGTGCTCATGGAAAGCATTCTTATGTGCGCCTGCGTGATATATCTTCCCTGAAAATCTCCAAATTAGTCATTTTTTAAAGGATTATCTTCGGTCTTTTCTGTTGGACAGTAAACGACTGGAGTTCGTATGAGAGAGAAATTGCTTTAATTTACATCCATCGTTACCTTCTCCATTATGTTCACATTCATTACCCAATAAATTCTTTAATTAACTGATCCTCATCGGCATTTTTCATCGAACATTAAACGCGTTAGAAATTTTTTCTAGCATATTCATAATCAGGGCGATGAGAATTTCCAACTTTTAGACATTGTACTCTTGATGTCACACTTATCCCTATTTTAGGGAACGCAAAAGACGGCCATTTTGCTGCAATAGTGCCGCAAATCGTCGATTGGGCCGTAGTACTTAAGGAAAATACACATTTCATTATCTACTATAGAATAGAGTCAGGATTTGTTTTCGGAGTAAATTTTGAAAGTCGATCAAGGGCTATTGTTTGATCGTATAGGTGTGGATTCACAAAAATACCATCTTTATCTACCAGATAAAAAAATCGAGTGCCCGTCACTTTCAAAGAGATGAAGGCTCCAACGTCATTTCTGTCTTTCTTGATGACAATCTGTTGAACAAAGAGACAACTTTATTAAACAATCTACTACATTTTTAACGTATAATATTAAATAAATGATTAGATTTACATCTTCAAGGGGTACAATTTTCGCCGTAGACCCTTTAGTAGGATGATAAGTTACTAGAGTTGCAGAAGAGCCGCCTTTATTCAAGATGATATATTTCAATGATTTACAGGTGAAGATCCAGATCATCATTGTGGTGCCAATTGCTTTAATGAATAAAAAAAAGTATGGATGTTATTTTATAATAAAATAATAGGAATGAAATGAGATTGCGATAATGAAGTCTCGCAGATAATTCTCGCAGAAATATAATTTTCATTGGGCATAGAAAGATGTGAAGACATTAATTTTTATATCCTCCGTGGGATTCAACTTATTTACAGTTTACGCTGCTCGTCGCGCAAAGCACCTTAAAAAACATTTTTTTTACCTTCCTCGGTGCGAAATAAAAGATCTTAATTTTTTTTATGAAACATTTTTGAGAGTGCCAAAAAAAACTATTTTTGGCTGGAAAATTCGAAAATAACATTTTTCGAAAGATGTTTGTATATGTGTATGCGATTTTTCTTTTATTTCTTGACGATTACTGGAAAAGAGACTCCTCAAACTGATTGAATTTGTTGGAAATATTCGTGCCAATGTCAAACAGATCAAGGCCGAAGGGGGGATTAACTACATTATTAATTTTTGATTGTAAGTAAAAATCCGAGGAAAGTTGTTAGGATCTTGATAGCAAGATATGTTTACCTGCGAATGCTGCAAAAAAACACAATGAACCCCACAAGTACGATTTCTTAGCATATTCCTTCCATGACATATCCTCCTCGAATATCGGGATGTACTTCCATGATGTGTAACTGCACGCCATTAAGATGATAAATTGGACAATACTGAACATATGGAATCGTTGAAAATGTTTTGGATTTTCATATTTCCAGAGAATTACGTTGTTTGCTACATTCGTATTAATTCTAGTAATCGACTCAGTAGCAAAAGTTCTCTTATGTTTTGATGTTGAAGATGTTACCAATTGAGGTGTCAACTTATTACAAATCCCCTGATATCTGAAAATGAGAAGACGTTAGAAAGATTTTGGAAAAATGTATTTCCATTATGTATGGCAAGGTGGCATTGTAAAGGTTTCGGCCGTTCCAATCCTATTTGGGATTTTCGGACAAGGGGTAAACATTTGACGAGTCATATTTTATTTGAGTTTGAATTTTCTTTTTTTTGCTTTTTTTCAATATTGTTTGTTTATATATCGAGTCATCATTTTCACTGCTCAAATTAGTTCCTCCGTGGGATTCACCGTGGAACTTTCTGTTTTCGCGTTTTCTGTAATTTCCGCCTATAGACTAGCCTCAGTCTTTTCTTTGCCTGGATCCGTATGTTTTACATATAAACATATTGGGACTCCATTGATATGATTATTGGCTGAAGCCAGACCTACTGTAGAAAGTTTTAAGCTTGGCAGCACGCTTGGAGCAGGATATAAAGTAGGTTCATTAGCAGGTAGCGAAGTGACCCATCAGAATATATAACTGGTATCACCGTAGGTTGAAGCGAGAAACACATGCTAAGAAATGCCAAGCTTGGCAGTTTAGAATCAACCAACCTTGGACCTATTGTCAATGCTTGGCAATTTCCGAAGCCTCATCGTATTATCGATGTCTCGCCATGTCTAAAATCAGAACTCTGCCCGAGTGCGGTTGATGAGGTGCAGAATTACTCATTACTGTTATCAGAGGAGAGTTCAGTGCAAAAACACTCTTAGTAGTGAACTTGGTAATCTTTATTGTGCATTATAAATGATGAGTACGTTTTTTACGGTGAGTCGGCCGATGGACTGTGAAATTGTCCATTACGGAGAATCAACAAAGTGACCCGTGAACAAATTATAATATGACAGACTAGGACTTATGAAGACTCACTTTTTCGTGAAGGATTGGATTATTCAAAGCATTCGGAAATTGAGCATATGATTATGTTGGCCTTTGTATTTATTGATAATTATTGAACTCATTTGTCCAGTATAAACTCTCTTTTTTCGTTTAATCATCTGAAAACTTTCCTCCTTCATCCTTTTATTGAGTAATTATTAGAGACAATGATCATTGAGAAACATCAGTACGTATTGTTATGATTGGAACTGAACGGGAAGTATAAGGTTCTAAATAAATAAAAATATTATTTTGTTCCAGCAGAGAAAATTGGGATTTAATACTTTCCAATACTGGTGAGGAAAAAGGCGGCTACGTAGCTTTCAGTCAAGCGTGGAAACGGGCGTCGCTTTTTTTTGGATTTTCCTAAGGTAAATTTAAAACTAAAACCTAACAGAGTAGGAAAAAGTGGGCAGGAGAATAAGGCGAATAGGCAGATAGTAAAATTTCATAGCGAAAAGTTACGCCAGAGATGGAAACAAGACACAAAGATGTGAGGGCAGTTTGGAGGTTACAAGCTAAAAAGTGAAGAGTGAGTGCGAAGGGGAGTGAGAGAAGAAAAAAAAGGAAGTGACGAGCAGAGTAAATGATTACAAAGAGGGGGGGAGGCAGGCCTCCAGGCAGCAAGAGTGCCAACGGAGGAAAGGGGGAAAAACTATGAGTACAACAAAAGAGAGAAAAATCACAAATTGGACAGAGAAAGAGGAAGGAGAAATGAGAAGAGGAAAGGAGACAGAGAAGCAGAGGGCGAAACCCCTGAGTGATGAGCAAGCAGGAGGAGAGGCTTTCCAGGCAAGGAAATAGCTAGGAACGACACCAATAAAGTCAAAAGGGGCCGGTAGCCCAGAGAACACAGGGTAGAGGGGAGAGAGGAGTGCGAGAAGACACGAGCAGGAAAGGGGTACTTCCTGAGAATGAAGGCCCAGGAGAACCCAAGCAAAGCAAAGCACAGCAGAGCAGGAGAAAGAGAATGAAAAATGATCCCAGGAAAACCTGCAGGACACAACGAGCGAGGAAGAAAGGGATAGCAAGGGCGATAAAGAGGACAGCATTATAGATGGGGAGAACCAAAAGGCAAACACAGATAATACGGGGGTGGTGGAGTGGCAGTGGAAAATCGAGAGGAAATGGAAGCGGAAATGAGAAAGATGGATCGAGACACAGTAGAAAGAAGAGGAAGAGAAGTGGGAGCATGTTTGTGTGACCCTGGAAGAGATAATACGGAGGGAATTCGACAAGGAACGAAAGTTGAGGAAAAGAGAGGAGCCACGAGAGAGGAACCCACACTGCACAGAATATGAAAACCTGAGAAGAGAACTGCGAAGGGTACAAGGTGAACTGGAAAGGAGCGATTAAAGGACATCAAAATGGAGGGCGGCAGCACAAGCTCGGCAATGGAGAGAGCACTCAATAGCAAGAACGTGGGAACCGGAAAGGCTAAGAATGTCAGGGGATGATATAAATACACAGGAGGAGGAAGAAGAAGGAAGTAATCAGGTGAGACAGGGAAGGGTGGATAGGAGCAGAGAAGGAAAAGCAGGCAGTGAAGTGGATGAGAGCGGGAACATAGGTAAAAGTAGGCTTCCAAAAACTGAACGTGGAGGGAGAGTGGCTAACGTGGGACGAGGAAGAGAACGCAGTGAGAATATGGAAGAGCAGCAGTGAAAGGAGAGAAGAGACGTTTCGCGAAGAAAAAGAAGAAAAGAATCACTATGAACTAAAAATCATGCAGTGAAACACACAGGGTATCAAAAACGTAGGGAGGAATAGAGAGAGATGGGAAAAAGCGTACTACTACAGGAGGCACATCTGGAGGAAAGACAAATGAGAAAAACATGCGAAAAACTGGATTCTACTTTCCGATGGTACGGCAAAGCAGCAAACAGAAAACACAGAAAAGGAAGAGCATAGGGAGGGCAGATAGTAGGCAGAAAAATGAAGTTTGGAGGCAACTGGGAAGAAACTGAGTGGGAATGTAGACTAAGAATCAGAGGAAGGGACGGAAATATTAACGAAAAGAATAAATACGAGATCTGGACAGTATACAATAACCGAGGAGGGAACATGAAGAACTTACTGAACAGTGTGAACGATAAACTAGGGCTCTCAGAAGGATACAACACAATAATAATTGGCGACCTCAACGCCAGAATTGGAGAGGAACAGGGGATAGCAGAGTATGGCATGAAGAAAAGTAATATCCCAAGGAGAAAATCAGAGGACAAGATACGGAGGAACGAGGGCAAACAGCTGGTAAACTGGTAGGAGACTACGGCTAAAATCATACTGAATGGTAGGGTAAAAGGAGACGAGGAGGGAAGGATTACATGCTTGGGAGACGGTCAGGGTCTAGGGAGCGTACTGGATCTGGTGATAGTCGATTTGATGGAAGTAGAATTTCCCAGAGTGGGCCAACGAACTACAGGTAGGGGAGCAGAAAGGATCAGACCACTTCCCTGTGCACCTGAAAGTGAAGTGAAAGGAGAGGGAAGCGGAGATAAGCCGTGACGAGGAACAAGCAGTCGAAAAGTTCAAATGGAGAACAGAGACAGGGGAAAGGTACAGAAACGAGTAAGAAGATATATGGAGAAGACCATCAAGGAGACAGCGGCGAAAGTGATGATGATAAAGGGTGAAAAGGTGAAAAAAGGGAAAGAAAAATGGAATCATGGGATAATGGAGAATATAGAAGGAAGCGAAGGACTGACAAAGTCCTGTCAAAAGGACGGCTGTACCAGGGTAGGTTTTTCCCCTCGAATGAGGTTTTTCCCTCCCTTCGGCAAATTCGATACAGGGGGTGTGGGGGGGTGGGAAGGGAACAAATCGTAAAGACCCGAAAGGGTATACGAGAGGAAAAAAAAGTTTAGAAGGAAGCGAAGGGAACTCAAGATCTTCAACAAAAGCAGAGACTGGCACAAGGAGATGCACTACGTGACATGCAAAAGAGAACTGAACACATTAAGAGAAAAATTGATCAGGGGATGGCTAGAGGTGAAATAAAAACAGGTAGCAGCTAGCAGGAACCTAACAGAGTGGCGGAAAGCCATGTCTTGGTACAGAAAAAGCAATAAAATAAACACAAACACGATCAGGGAAGAGGACTGGACGGGGCACTTTAAACATTTATTGGAAGCAGAGGAAGGGTCAGGAGAAGAGAATAGGAGTGAAGAGAGAAGGGCAGAAGAAGAGGCACAAGAAGAAGAGGAAGGAACCAGACATCCTGGAGATGAAGGAGAGGAAAGAGGAAACGAGGGAGTGGAGCAGGAAGAGCAAACCAGAGAATTAGACGCACAAATTGAGGATGAAGAGGTGAACCGGGCGATAAGAGACATGAAGAATAGGAAAGCGGCGGGAGAGGACCAGATTCGGGCCGAATCTTTGAAAAATCTACCCAAGGAGAGGCAAAAAGGAGCTAACAGAAATAGTGAAACGACTACGGAAAACAGATAAAATAATTGAGCATTGGAGGACGGCGTTAATCTACCGAATACATAAAAAAGGCAACCCGAATGAAACAAAAAACTATAGAGGCATCTCGCTTCTTAAGCTAGCTCCAAAATATTGGCAACGATCATGACGAACAGACTGGGGCAATGGCTACAACGAAAACAAATTAATGGAGGCACAGATGGGATTCAGAAAAGGAAGAAGCACAACGCAGGGCATCATGGTGCTAAATACGTTGGTGGAAAATAAGCTGAAGGTGAAGGGAGGAAAACTATATACGGCATTCATAGACTTTCGGGCAGCATTTGATAAAGTCAATAGAGGAAAGCTATGGGAAAAAATGGAGATAGCAGTTAAGTTCATAAGGATGAGTAAGTTGACACCATGAAGAATAGAAACCAGAAGGCCGAACTGGTATGGGCCGATCCTCGAGAATCCGTGACCAAATCGTGTTCCGTACAGTAGTTATCGTATTGTAAATCGTGGCGCTTCATTCGCATTACTCCACCTTGTATATGTACTCCCTATCATTGTGTTAGTGTCGCGCCGAAAGTCTATTATTTTCTATTGTGTTTTGAATAAAATTGCTAACCTATGAATGAAATATTATTAAAACCATACCAAATTATGATTGTCGATGTTGAGTGAAGTGTGTGAGAAAAAATGAGAAGAGTGTGTTCAGTTGCCAACTGCAAGACAGGTACAAATGCAGATCGAATCCGAAATAAGTCATTGGGCACACGAAACAAAGCGTTGTTTGCATTTCCAAATAAGGTAAGTAAATAACAACTGATAGTTATGAAATAAGACTCGCTTTGCCTGCAGTGTATGGTGAGAACATCAGTATTATTTTCGGCCATGTTCATCCTTATAGAATCTCCAGCTTCGAAAGCAATGGGAAAGTGTTCTAGGACGTCCAGCTGAGGACGATGAAGTAATCTGTGAACTACATTTTCATAAAGGAGACTTAAAAAAAGACTACCTAATACAATTGTCAAATAGTTCGGAATGCAGAATTGATCGAGGGAGAGTTCAATTGAACCCTAGAGCGATTCCTCACCTTGTTCAGCCTGACGTAAGTATATACGTAATTTGTCAAAATCCCACTCCCATGAAGAGTAATGAAAGTATTGCATTGAATAATTATTTTCAGATGCCAATCTTTGAACCTTCAATCAATAAAACTGGATATCCATCATCCCATGAAAATCGTCCACACAATTCTGTAGATCTAAATATAATACACATTCATCATACCTTACTGTGGCCCAATTAGGTGGTCTTTGGACTATTTGCAGATTTTTCTGTAACTCCTCAAAGCAGAATTTTGAACAATTTTTGTTCTCCATTGTTCGAAAATTGAACTGGTGATATGTACAACTCATTCTTTAGTGTTATAGACAATTAATTATAAAATACATGATATACAATTGATCCGAATATACAATTAATGTTTGAATAAAATGTATTTAATTAAATCCTAATGTCAGGAAAATTCAATATACAATTGAATGTAAATGTGATGTAAATAGAAACTAACCTTGACGGTTTCATCACATGGCAACAGATCGTACATTACAAGTTTTACTTGCATTTTAAATTCTTTCACTTTTCGAGGAGCCCATTGATGATATATATATAATGATTGGTCGGAATCAATCAGTAAAATCAATTTCAAGTAAAATTATTTACAATTTAAACTCACTCAGCTTTTTAGTACGCATTTTGTATCAACGTGCATCTTCTATTAATTAACACAGCTACTATTCTCCCACTCCTGACATGGAGTAATGCGATCGAAGCACCACCAATAACTGCCCTGTAACTATTACGCGGAACATACTTTGGTCACGTTTCGGACAACGCTAGTTCGGCCTCCTGGTCTCTATTCTTCATGGTTGATACATAAAGACACAAGGAGTAA